TTCTGCTGCCCAGCAACGCCTTGGGACCCAGGAGGAGGAGGATGCGTGGGGGGGGGGGAGTGACCCCCCCCCGCCCCCCCCGCTTTGTGGTAGCTTTTCAGCTGTTTGCAGCACCTGACGTCCTGTCCCCGGAATTCCTGGACTGGTTTGTCCGTGGGGGGGAGGTGCAGAATGCAGGTGGCGTCTTGACTGCTAGAACCTCCATGCTGGGAAGTTCCACGTGTGCATCCAAGTCCATACCTTTGAGAGACGGGGGTGTTCTTTGTCAAACGTTCCTTGGAAGCTCCTGACTTCAGGGAAGGAGAGTGGTTGTGTGAAGGTGCCCTGGCCGGGTGGTCGGCTGCAGACAAGTCCAGCTTTGCGCGGGATTCAGAGTTCCTCCTTAAATTATTTGCTAGCTATGCAGACCGAACGCCTCCGTCCCTCTTGAGCCAGCCGAGGACGGTCACTCACTGTGGCTGGCCTGACCGAGACCAAGACCGGAGCCCCTGTTGTTAAATGACGTGTTGACTTTTTTTAAAAAAAGAATTCTTAAAATAAACAACCAGGTCTTTTAAATGAAATGTCCCCTTCTCTCTCCTTTCCGTCCTGGACCATTGGTGGTGAGGCTGGGACGCTCAGGAATCCCCTGCCTGTCTGCAGCTGTAGTGATTGGGGGGGGCACATGCTCAGTCCACCCCCCCCATCTCAGCTCATGCAGACAGAGCCCACCAACCTCTGGCACCGCGGGGCGGGGCGGGGGGAGGTATGCTGTCCAATACACAGCACGTCTCCCTGGCGTAGAAAGTGGCAAAGGTTTTTATTTCCTTACGGTCTCTCAGTCGTAATTATTAACAGTATCAGAAGAGCCCTGCTGGATCAGACCAATAGGCCATCTAGTACAGTATCCTGTCTCACGGAAGAAATTTTAGAGGTTTATAAAATTATGCATGAGACGAAGAAATTGCATCAGAAGAGCCCTGCTGGATCAGACCGTCGGTCCATCTATTTTTAATTTATTTCATTTTCTCCAATTTTTACCCTGCCCTCCCAGCCAAGGCCGGCTCATGGCAACTTACATAAAATCAGCATATATATATGCAATAAAACGATTAAAACATTTAAACCAAGCTAAAACTAATTGACAATAACACAGTAAGTGCTAGTTTGTTGTTGTTGTAACTGAGTCAACGATGGCTACTGTATAAGTTCTTTCTTCCCGTGACTGGCTCCTAGATCTATTTAGGGTGTTTTCCAGGCGGTTGGCACAGGCTGGTGTTATAAATTCCAGGGACAACAGGGCTTCCTATCTTTAGTAAAGTTCAATGGTGGTCCATAAGCCTGGTGGAAGAGCTCCGTTTTGCAGGCCCTGCGGAATTGTAAAAGGTCCCGCAGAGTCCTGATCTCTTCTGGGAGCTCGTTCCACCAGGCTGGAGCCGCCACCGAAAATGCCCAGGCCCTGGTTACTGGCAGCCTGACTTCCTTAAGACTCGGGAGGGCCAGTCGACTCTGAGCCCCTGAACGCAGTGCTCTGGTCCAACACCCTGCCTCACACAGTGGCCGACCAGTTCCTCTGGAGGGCCAACAGCAGGGCACAGAAGCCAGGGTCTTCCTCTGATGCTGCTTCCTGGCACTGGGACCCGGAGGTTTAGTGCCTCTGAATGTGGAGGCTCCCCTCAGCCACCATGGCTAGTAGCCATTGCTAGACTTATCCTCCATGAATCTATTTATTTAATCCCCCTTTAAAACTGTTACTTCTGTGGCCCTCACTCCATCCTCTGGCAGCACATCCCACATTTTAATCACTCTCTGTGTAAAGTAGTCTTTCCTTCTGTCCGTCCTGAGCCTACTGCCCATCAGCTTCCCTGGATGCCCTCGAGTTCTGGTATTGTGGGAGAGGGAGAAAAAGTTCTTTTTGTCAACTCTTGCTGCCCCGTGCATAATTTTATCAACCTCAATTATGTCTCCCCCCCCCTTTAGTTGTCTCTTTTCTAATCTGAAAGGGCCCAGAGACTCTTCGGCCTTTCCTCACAGAGGAAGGGGCTCCAACCCCCCTCATCGTGTTGGTCGCCCTCCTCTGGACTTTTTCCAGCGCTGCAAATTGCACTTGGTTTTTGTTAATTTATTTGTTGTTGTTGGGGAGCGTTTATGAAGATTGTGCCAAACGCAAGAGCTGATCCTGACATTAGTTTCCTGTGCAAGAGATGAAGGATTCTTCTCTCCTGATAATTACAGATTTTGAAAGAGTTTCATGACTTTCTCCTTGGAAGTTCTGAATTCTAAAAATCTGTACATTAGATGACCGGTTTCATCCCTTCGACATCTCAGCTGTGCTTATTTTTATGCTGTTATCAACCCGTTTTTTAGAATGGTTGGATCACGAATGCGATTCCACCACCAGCTCCTGCTTGACAAGGCCGTGCCGTCTCGGGCTGTGCCACGGGGTGGGGTGGCATTTGCTTCCAAGGCGAGAACACCGTTGGCTGCTTCGTAACGGTACCTGGTTGTAAAAAAGGCATTTTGTGTAATAATTGTACATTGTAAATAGCCTTGTAAAATCAGTTTTTATGCGATAAAACTATTTGAAATGAAAATGTGGTGAGGTTGCCCCTTTTCTGTGTCCTCTGCGGCCCACTCATTTCCGCCCAGGCGTGAGGCGGCAGCACCCAGCTGGGATTCTGTTGCGCAAGTCGGCCCTGAAGCTATTTTGGGAGGGGGAACTTCTGAGCCAGAAGTCGTTGAAAGGGGAGCCGTTGAAAGGTCGTCTCCGATCAGCCTCGTAGAGGCCCAAAATGGATGCTGCAGGTTAGGGAAAGGGGCAAAGGGGGTTAACTGAGACACTATATTGGCAACGTGGAGTGTCTCCTCCGAAAGTGACCGTCTGGTTCAGAGGGCCAACATTTTAAAAAGCAAGTCAGATGTTAGGTGAAAGCGAGCAGAGAGATGCCCTCTGGCGATCCAGTCGTTTATAGAGACGTATTGGGAAATGGCCGGCCGTGAATCCTGGAGCACCTCAAGGGACCAGCGAGACCTTCGGATTGGAGCTTTTGAGGGCCCCCGGAACCAGCGGATGAACCCGCCGGCCTGCCTCATCCTGGGCCCGACCATTTGGTGTCCTTTCCGCCGACTGGTCTCCGCTTGGCGTGGCCTGACCCATTTCCTCCTCCTTGGTCTGTTTAACAGTAGAGGCTGCCAGAGACTGGACACAAGGAGGGGGCTCTGCGGCTGAGCCACGGCGAGGAGTGTCAAATGTCCAGAAAACACCAAGCCGTGGGAAGGAATAAACATCTCAAAAATGTAATTCTGTGCAGGTAAACTTTCCTGTGTGGGTGAATTCCGATACAAATGATGCATTTTATGTCATTAGCATTAAAATGTTCGGCCTACTAATGGAATTTTAGGGTCTAAATGTTTTGGTTTTCTATTAGGGAAGTAGCAACACTTGAGAGAGAGTTGCAGTCTGCTTGCACTGTGGGTGACCACCGCGCATGCATCTTCAGTTCTTGCCCTCTGAGAGGAGAGAGAAGGAAAAATAAAAGTTGGATGTAGAAAAATTCTGTAGTAGACAAAAGACAGTGTCCTACAGAAGAAGAAGAAGAAAAGAGATTGGATTTATACCCCATGGCCCTTCACTACCCGAAGGAGTCTCAGAGTGGCTCACAAACTCCTTTCCCTCCCCATGACAGACACCCTGTGAGGTTGGCGGGGCTGAGAGAGCTCAGAAACTGCTCTTTTTCCAAGGACAGCTCCTGTCAGAACTGTGCCTTCCCCAAGGTCATCCAGCAGCTGCAAGTGGAGGAGGAGTGGGGAATCAAACCCGGTTCTCCCAGATTAGAGTCCTCTGCGCACTTCACCACCACACCAACACAGTCACCATAAGTCGTCTGAGAAGAAAGCTCGAGTCCAGGAGCACCTTTGCAACCAACAATGTTTTATTCAAGGTATTAAGCGAAGTTTTAGAACATGGAAAACGCTGGACTGTTTAGTTAATATATGATGATTAAACCTTTCGTAAGAGGTTTTCTCAGTTTGAAATGTGCTGTCGGAGGAAAGTGTTCTGGATACTGTGGAGTGCCGGAAAGACAAGCCGGCGGGTTCCAGACTAAATCCAGCCTGGTCTCTCCCTGGAGGCCAAAACAGCTAAGTCGAGGCTGTCGTCTTTGGGTCCCATGAGGAGGAGGCGAGAATCCCTGGAGAAGTGGAAGGCAGCAGGAGGCGAGGAAGACCCAACCTGAGACGGAGGGACTCTCAGCCAAGGAAGCCACCAAGGCCCCCCTCCGCTTGCAAGACCCCTGAGCACGGCCCATAA